TTCTCTCTAGACTGCCTTGCTTTAGTATTTTTTTTAAAGAACCCACCATTTTACTGGAATTGATTTATATGCCTTTAAGTTCTACAATTTTCCTTAAGTTTTATAAAGTTTATAAACGCTCACGGGACTTTGCCTTAAATCTCTAATTTTCCCTGTAAGTAGTTTTCTATGCTTCTATGCTCTATGCTTAAATTGATCAAATGTTCCGGTAAATTTTCTGATATATATATTTAAAATTCCCTGAAGCTTCAACAGTTTTCGGATCAATCATAGAATTCTCGGAATATCCCATAATTCCAAGGAACTCCTTGTAAGGCGCTACAAATTTCCTTAAAATGGGATTTTTCTGATGTTATCTAATCGTCCTCGAAGTAGTCGGAGCTTCACTGAATATAATGAAACAATCAAAAATATCTAAATTTCTTAGAAGTTATCTAAAATTTCTTGAAAATATCGGTGCTTGCTAAAAGTTCTCGTCTTTTTTTTTAATTAATGGTACTTCGTTGATGTTCTCTAATCAACTGAGCTAAATTTTCGAATGTTCTATGGATCTTGAAATTTCCATGATAAAACACCCTTGAAATACTCTCACATTTTCTGGATGTTCATATAATTTTTATTGCGTTCCAGAAATTTTCTCTGAGCAAACAGAAGTTTCGGGAAATTCCGGTTTTTGCAATTTCCTTGAATTTTTTTGAACTCCCCCTTAATTCTCAGATCTGTCTTCATGTTCTCGGAGCTTCCCTAAAACTCTCAACTGTAATGAAGATCTCAGTTCTGCTTTAAAATAAATGGAATTCTCGTAAACACCTTTAAACTTCCCTGGAATTCTCTGGATTTCTGCGAGGTTCCTGAAATATTTCTGAAGTATTCATAAATTTTCTGAAGGTCTCTATACTGAATCTTTCGGAACATCTTAAGGGTTCTCGATTTTATTTCAGCACTTCATGGACCTATCCTGAATTTGTCCAAACTCACGCTTATAGATTTTCAAACCAATTCAATAGTCTGGGCTAAAGTTTCGGGGACTTCCTCTTAAGACCTCTGGAAGTCCCAAAGATCGCTAGATCGAACTTTTCTGAGATCATAGTTTCCACATTTTTGATAGTACGAAACGTCAAGACATTAAAAATGTTGTGATCTTAGACTTACCAAAATGAAGTAAGTGTTCAACTTCAACATTTAATGGATTTGAGCTCAAGCTGTTTCTTTAAAACGGATTGTCATGTCTTAAAAACGTTTGCGTTAAAAACATATTTTTAACGCCTTTCATAAATAGCATTCTTATTATAAACCTGGACATTATCCGCCAAAGTTATGAAAACACCTGCAAAAAACTCAGGGAGCTTTATTTAGCCAAATGAGTGGACACCCTGTAGATAGAGAAGAACGATTAAACGTTAAAAAAAAGCTCTATACCATGTCCTCAACATAAGACCTATCCAGAAGAATGATCAATCTTTAAATAAATTCACGTTTAAAAAAGTTGGAAATAGTGACTTATTACAAGAAAAAGGGACTTTAGTGACTTGGACTTAAAAAAGAGACTTTTTAGTGACTGGCTCGAAAAAAGTGACCAAGTCACTAAAAGCCTTGTACTAGAGAATACCGCTAAGAAAGGAGTCATCTTCTGAGGACAGCTAAAACAATCTGTGCAGAACTTCAATCTAATGTTGAATACAGTTTTAAGGTAGTTCCTAGGAGAATTCTTAAGAATTCTGAGGGTATTTCAAAGAATTTATGGTAGGATTCTAAAGAACTTCTCAGGAAGGATATTCTGAGCAGCAGCCTCGGTTCCAAGGGATTTTCGAGAAAAATTCCAAAGGTAGAGTTTCAAGCGAATTCCAAGGAGAATCCCAAGGCGATCTTGAAAAGAATTTCAAAGGAATTGGCGAAAACAATATAAGAAAAAGTCTGGTGAGAATTATTGAGAGTACGAGTATGTATATGTAGACTGAATTCCAAGAGATTTCTTGGGGTTCAAACGTTCTTATAAACAATTAAATTGACTCCATTGGCGACCGTAAATCATAAAGTAGTTGATGATATTCATCACTACCCGGTGGTCGGAGTCGAGGCCGGCAGCTCAAGTGTTGTATTTCATACCGGACTGGAAATACTTCAGCATGTAAGGAAGCACAGCAAAAATGAGCTGTGTTTGTTCACATCGACTGATACTGAGTGGTTGCGGTACAAGCACATATCGTCGATAATAGACGATTGTTGTGTATTAGAGAACGTTTGCGCAAAAAGACTAGGGTGGGAAACGGATTCGAAACTCAAATGTCATCAGCCAAATACATCCGTGTACTGAATAGGAATTGTGGGTTCGAAGCCCTTAGAATTTTTCGCAAATTTTCTCACACACACACGTTTCTTAACGATGATATGTGCTTACCTCTCAGTATGTTTAAACTTTCTTATAAACAATTAAATTGGGTGCAAGTCGTTAAGCCGTAAATCATTTCCGGAGGGATTTTCCTAAAATGCTGTACTGAGAAAATGTCTAGGGAATATCGGAGTGATATTCCCTAGATATAAGATTGTTCTATGAGAATCCTGAAAGTAGTTATGAAGACATTTCGGGATGATTTTAATTAGAGGCGCTGCAAGTGGACACGTAGGACAAATACCTGGATGGGACATACAAAGGAATGTCCCACCCATGATTTTATAGAGAATCAAGCCAATAATTAACGAACCATTTGATTTTATTTACTAAGTTCTGCCTCTCTTGGAACAGTTGCAAAACTTAGGAGACTTTCAAAATCCTGTATCAGAAACAGCTATAGTGGTCTGTTGTTAGGTTTTTTGTTAAAACCAAATTATTTCTCCAAACAATTAAATCCTATGTAATGCAATGTCTGAACTCCATTCTTATAAGGAATTCAATGAAATGTTGAGAACACCCTCCGCCCTATTCCCTTACATAATTTGGTGAGACCCCTTTGCTTTACGAGAAAAAAAAAAAACCGTCAAAAAATTGGTGCGTGGCTTTCAATAAAATATACTTTCAAATTTTTTGCTGGCATTACCACAAACAAAAAATACTGTAGATAACCTGCTGCAGTATTAATTCTCAAACGAATAATCTATCGTCAATATACCTATATAAAAAAAGGGTGCAACACAAATATTGTGCCAATCTGTCAGGCATTTCACTGCTTCAAGCGCACACTATCGAGTTAACCTTTAGTCGCTAATCTCGAGTAGCTATATCTCACTCGCAACAACAACGTAATACATACTTACAGTGTATCTCAAAATTGCGCGTTCAAATGTCCTTAAATTTTAGAAAAAAAAAACTGCTTGAAAAGCAAAATTTAAAGAGATACGTTTCTGAATTTTTGGTTGCCGAATCATGATAAATTTATCAATTATTGTTACAGTGTTGGAGTTATTAGGTTACGTTCATTAAACGTAAGTAACGTTTTACTTTAAAAACCTAAATATTTTGAAATATTATGAACTAAACTTTATGAAATTTTGCCCATTTTTAGTCATAATAAAGATCATTCATATTCCACTAATTTTACTAAAATGTGTCCACTAGGTAAAAAGTTGAAAATCGTGCGTTTTACTAAAATAAATCTAACGTCATACAGGTTATTCCAATAAAGTCCAAAACAAAAACGAAATATATCTACCTATTCAGAATGTTTAAAAAAATGTTCCACTAGGGTGTACGCTCAATTTTGCGATACACTGTATATCCGATTTTATTCTGTGTTACTCGGTCGACCAACCGACCTAACCGCTAAAACGACCCCACCACCTTCACCATCGCTATCTACTTTGCCCGCGACGTGTTCAATAATCAAACACAAGAATTCTGAACTTGTCGTTACGTGTTAAAAATAGACCCTTTATTGGATGTTTATGTTTTCGTTCACTGTCACAAAGTATCGCCGTATGTTATGATTTCTTCGTCGTCGTCGTCGTCGGTTGGTTCTGACTGACTATCGTCAGAAGCGGCAGCGGCTTACCTCGCTGCTATCGGTTGAACTTGGGGGTGCTAGGTTCTTGGCGCGAGAATGAAATGGATGAAGTAGGCAAGTAAAGCGGGTTGCTGGCGTAACTCGGCGGATTTTGAATGTTGTTTTTCACGCAAATTGCTTACGGTCAATGCCAGCAAGCAGCGGCGTGTGTACCGTCAAGAGCAACAGTATTCAGTTTATAAATACCACCCACTTGCCAACAAACATGAGATTCTGTGGTGATCACTCAATATCGCACGTTGTTGGTATAGAGATGGTCTAGATGCTGGCAGACAAGTTGGGATCTCGGCTGACGATGGGGAATAGATGCTTTAATGCTGCGAAACATGGGATTCTATACGATGAATATTGATGGTTGAAGCGATAACTTATAAAAAAGGAACCCGTTTGATTACATCTGAAAATAACACCAAACGATGAGGAATGATTTTGCAGCGTGATTCGTTGATGTCTTAATCTAGACAGACGACTACAAAGAAGATTCTGTGTTCTGAAAGGTTGCTGTTCATTGCATCTAGGCTGTGAGAATCTCAGATCATCGCGCGGATGGATAGCAAATTTGATCATACCGCCTTTGTTCGTTGCTCTGGTGATTTCATCGGCTTACGATGACAAAACCATCCGGATAATTGTATGATTCGTATTCCCGATACCGGAAGATCATCCACAGCGTTAGTTAATAAATTACAATTCGAAGTATTTGCTGTTTAACACCGCAAGACTAAACAACCAAATTAATGTTTACCTTGATTTCTGACAGTTAATCCAAACAGTGGTCACAAATCTTCCCAAATGTGGTAAACGTGCAAATGATCGCTAAATTTAGATTACGATCGTCGTTGGTCAGCTAGTGTGTTGTGTTAGCACTGCGGGATATCCTAAAGAAACACTATGTTCTTCGATTCAAAAACACACACACACACACGTTCAAGGCCACATGTCCAAGCTGCAAAACTGTTCCCCCTGGTCTAATTAATGATCCACCAACTGTACCGGGCTTACCTCTAATCCTCGGAAAGGAAGACAGTCAGTCGACGGCCCCGCGTCCATCGCCTGCCCTTACAGCAGATCAAAATCGCACATTACGTTGGTGGTGATGGTGACTATTATTAGGATCATCCGCCACCGGATGCATTGACCCCGCGAGTTTTTTTCACTCGGTTGAGGGCACAGGCAGCGTATGCGGTTACGTAGGATTATGCATCGCCAAAAATGGCAAAAGCGACGCTGCGCTGGACAAGCCGTCTCGCACTGCCTATAGCATCGAATCAAGTAGCCAGTGCCTGAATAAAAAAAATAAGGTAACGCATACTATAAATAAATTACATATTCATCGGAGCAAGCTAGGCAGGCGGCAGTAAAGCAGCCTTGTCAAAGTCGCACGTAACTGGAGGAAGTAGCGATTTACCTGATCTCGTTTTTTTTAACGTGTGTGTGTGAGAATGTTTTGTTCAAGTTGACCCACAGACCCACGAGTGGCAAGTGAAACAACTGACTACAATAAACAATCAGCCAACAGCAGAGGAAGCTGCGAAAAAGACAAAAAGTGCGTCCCTGTAAGGTTGCGTTCACCCCTTGAATCTATACATACGCAAACCCTGTCCTGTCGGGTCCCGCGAGCGTTAGAGTTGATTTGTTGAATCGTTTAGTCTAAACGTTCAAACGTCCACAAATCATGAAGGCATTTTTGAACAACAAATTAGACCTACATCGCCCTTCTTCTTCATCCTGACTTTGACGCTCTTACACGAGCTTATGACTGCATAATGCAGCAATAACAAAAATGTATTCGATATTGACAGTTCAGATTGGGTCAAAAACCATTACGTCTTCGCCTGACCCAGATAATAATATGGTTCTTACAACAAATGTAATGGCAGTTCTTGCAATGGACTGCAGCGTGCAGCAAGTTTTTCCAGAATGAATATTTACGACGACCACATTACAGAATCTGTTAATGCGGTGAAACATTGCAAATTATGCATATATTTCTTTCTTTCTTTCATGTAATTATCGTAGTTATTTAAAAATAGATAATTCAGCCAAATATTTACCTAAAGAGAACTTAATCGTACTTTGACGCGAAGCGCTGTGGATTGTAGATGCTCGCTGAGCCTGGTATCCCTCTGAGCAGAAAATAATGGATCGTTCGTTACATACCAAGCGAAAACGTAGTCATGTTTTGTCGCAGAGCGTTATGGTTCTGAGATGCTGATGATCCTGAAGGGATCGTTTTTGCTTACTGAGCAGAAAATCATGGGTTTAATCCTAAGTTCGAAGTCATGACTCTTAAAATGCATAATAACTAAACAAAATCAATATTATCTTTCGATAGTCGGCTATTAAGATATTAAACGAGCAATACATAAACAATATATACTCTTGGTTGCATCGGCAACTTGAGGCGAATCCTAACCGAATACACTACCCGTACCCCCAACTTCGTAGCACTTTTGAGGGTATCGCTAAGTCGCTGGTTTCTCGTTAAGTAAGTAATACATCAACATTTACTTCCTCATCCCTAGTTATGGTAAAGATGGGCGTGGCCGGGAATAACGACAGTCATGCTTCTGGAATTATTGTTAAGATTCGTGAAAGTAGTCTGACTGAGATTCTCAAAAGAGTAGTGAGTGTCGCTAGTATCCAATCTACGAAGTATGTCATAACAACGCTAAAGGTATCGCTACCATTACAAATTATGTATAGTTTTTAATAGTTGAAGATGCTAATTCCAAATAATAGATTAAAGTGGTAATTTTTATACGATATATGAGGAGATGAAAGTATAGAGTTCATAGTTTCGTTAGAGTACGGCAGTGTGAAAATTGTATATAGAGAGTAGGACAACTTTTCAGGAAGGTACAAATCGGTTTGATCATCTCTCTTTACCAAACTCCCCCGTTGGAGAGGGATAGTGAGGGTGGTGTAGGGGTATGTTTTCACCAAATTTGACAAAAGCAGCTGCATAAAATATCAACAACAATAGTTTTCATTTGAATTCATTGGTAAACATAATTCATTTGTTATGTATTGAATGATTTTGTAAAATTCAGTAAACAATAACAGCTGTTGCTAGCATGATTAATAATTAAAAGGCTAATTTTATTTAATAGATTTCACTCAAATTAAGACGCCCCATAGGGGTTGGCCGTCCGTAGCAGTTAAAAAAAAAAGATTTTGAAAAAAAATCTCAAACAACTTTTGACGAGATTCAATTGGGGGTTCGTGAGCATTCCTGACATGCTGAAAATTACGATAGCATCAGATTGCGGGGTTACTGGTGTAATAAGATGCTTTGTTGATTGTTCATTAACTCTTGATTGCTTGTAATACTTATGAATATTTTAGGTGGACAAAAAGACGAACTAAGAGGTGGACGCCTGAGCTTTTCCAAATTTATATCGCTGTGAAGCAACTGTAAACTCTAGAGGGAATTTATATCTGTAACTGAAACCAGTTCGATTTTGTTTGCCAACCTGGTTAAAATGTCATATTTAATTATCTTAAAGATAAATCGTCCAGCTCAAACCTTTGTAGGGGTGAGAGGTGGGACCATCATCATTTATATGCATTATATTGCTGATATATGAAGGCAATAATATGAACATGCAATACGGTGTAGAAACTCCTATAAATATCCACTATTTGGCATATATAGAAGGTACAATTGTTAAGGCGGCACTCTTGCTCCACCAGACCCTATGTTGTCTACGCGATAATAACGTCGTATCATTGACCTGGAGATCTCAAACTCGTAAAAATCCTCTACACGCCATACACAAATTCAATATCAGACATGGATAAATGTTATAGATGTAGTGACATGAACAACTTTTATTTTTTTTTGTGCGTTGGCTAAATTTGGATTTTTCAGATATAATCCTGAATAGGACCTAGATTTTTTAATACTCTAGTAACCTCAAGTCCGTGGTCTGTCACAATGTTTCATTGTGATTAATCAACACTCAAAGGGGTGAAATATAAAATTTGGGGTAAATTTGAAAGAAAGGGAACTTGGAGTGTAGAGCGCACTGCCCACTGGACGATTCTGAAGCCTGGCCAAGTGAGTGGTGTATGGGTTTATTTGATTGAACGTCATTTCCAATGTATATATTGATACTTTCAAACCATTGGCATTTGAGATAAGACAGAGATAGGATGCGCAGGGCCCGCTTAGGAGGAGCGTAACCCATGTTATGGTTTCCATTTATTAAATAGTTCAGATAGGCTAGAAATGACAGGTTTATAGTGAGAGAATATACCATATTGGGAAAGCATAATTTTCATAGGGTTCAGAGCGGCTGAGCTGTTCCGTTTGTAGTTTAACCTTCCTTCAAAACCAATTTGGCTCTAAAACAATTTTAAACTTGTTCTGCATTACTCACATGTTGCAATTATTGAAAAGAGCTCGATATAAGATAGCCACAGATAACAGACGTTGAGGCTCCAAAATTTCTATAAAATCTTGTGTAAAGATTCCTATTCGACTTAAGCGCCACTAACGGCGACTTCCCCACTTAAAAACCCTCTTTGACAACATGATGGCGCTGGCGTTGCAAAACTTACACTAGACACTAAGTGCTGGTAGCGCCAAGTGGCAATTTTAAGCAGATAATTTATCGATACTAGCGCCAAATTGGTCGAAAGTGATAAATTTATAGGGGAAATCAGGAGATGCTAGCGCTACGTAACGACAACGTTTCCACTTAACTTTACACAAGTTTCTGACCGAACTTGGACGTCTGGTCTCTGTGAGATAGCTTAATACAATTAAATAGAAATGCCAAAATCTTACCGAGTAGTTTAGCTGTTCTGATTTCGGTACAGTTTGTTGAGGTCGGGTATAGTTTCTGAGTATGGATGCTCATATTAGCACAGAGTAATAGTTTTATTGCTAGGGAACTATCTTTTGGGATCGTATTTTCTTCATACAATTCTCATTATTCATACTATATTAATCATGATCAGTGTTAGAAACTGTTATATGTTTAAGTCCCGTTCTAGATTTGTTTGTTATTCATATCTTATGCATTGCAGCTCGCGAGAGGTTACTAAATATGGGTTCTTTTTCTCATCCACAATAGTTTGGGGGGAGGGGGCGATCTGAGAGCTGAATAGAGGCAAATAAAATAGGGAACACAACACCATGACCCAAACGACTAACCAACGCATGCGGCTCACACTTAACTTATTCTTTTTCTTTCTTCCCCTCATGTACCAATATTACCTACCTGAGAACAAATGGGAACACGGCCAGATTTTCAATAGGAAGAAGAAAAAAAGCGAGAAAACGTAAGAGAGTAAGCAGTCAGAAAGGATTAGGCCATTTGAAAACAGCCAATTTATACTGGACGGAACTGGTAAGTAGGATAAGAATTGTAAAAAGATGTGTGCTTGCATGATTTACCTATTTTAGAATTACCTATAAGCCACATGAGAATCCCATTTCCTTCAATTACTACTCTATTGCAGCACACACCTAATAATGATCACTAACGTTCATATAGTTTCAGCATTATCGACATTTATAATTAAAAGGTTACCATACATAGATATAAGTTAATGTACCAGAACCTGGACGGACACGAGCCTACCCAGGGGAGGACGCGAATTCGACCACCCATGTGTGTCTAGAGTATCGTACGAGCTGACGAGTGCAACGGGAAGGACAGTAGGTGTATAGACTAGGGGGTTAGTCCCTAGATAAGCCAACTTAGCGGTTGGCACAGCCTATACACTGAACAATTACAAATTACAATTACAATGAACAACTTTCATTTTTTTTATTAGTAACAAACATAATCAGCTTCGAAAAACTTTTTAGCATTGCAAAATTTAACAAAAAAACACACTAAGTTTAGTTAACGATTTTCCCTGGAACCATTTAAGAAAATCTCGGACGATCTTGGACTCTGGGAAACTCTCTGACATTGCTTTTTATTTTAGATCGAAGACTTAATTTTTGGCATCCTGTGCTAAGACTAAATCAGAATTCCGAGTTGGATAAGCAGTCTTACTATTTTCCTCTAATACAATACAAATGTTATGGAAAATAATATTGGAATCAACCGCAAATTTTAAATTTAGGCTAGGGAACAACGTAAACTTGACATTGCATTATTCCCTAGCTCGGTATTCTTCCAGCTTCTTCGATTTTCACCACGCTAATGGCCTTGTACCATACCATACCATACATAATACATGTGGCAGACATGTTTTACTAACGTTGTACTCCTTTAGACTAGTACAATGTGGTACTAGATTCAATGAGTACAATGATACTGTAATCATGTATGTCATAGGCATTAATTTATCTCCGTAATTTTGTAGCTTTGAATATTGAACTTGGTAGAGTATTTTAATAAATAAATGGACCTTTATACTGCCCTGTGCTGCATAACAGTCCCATTAGCAATCAAGCAAAGATGATATGTACTATTATGCCACACAGATACCGTAAATAGGGGTCATTGAGGTTTATTTTTGTTTTTGATTAATACATTTTTGTCGAATGATGTTGAAATAGTTTTGGGCTTAATAATGCATCCTAAATGCATAATACTGCATGATGTTGAAATTCGACAAAAAAGTGTTGAAGGAAAGTAATGAGAAATATCAGTGATAAAACACTCCGCTGCTCAAATTTACCCGTTTTACGGTACCGCCCATCAAAAAATTTCGGGAATAAAAAAAAAAGCAAGCAAATTGTGTGTGGGCCAAGAATGCAATCTAGTAATGAATAAATCCAAAACGAAGCATTTCCGAGACTTGGTGTCTTCAGTAACATTTCTTATT